ATAAGGAAAAAATTTAATAATTAATATTTTAGTTGATTTTGAAGTCCTAAATTTTAGGAAATTAACTTAAATTACTATTTTGCCCAATATAAAATTTATTTTTGAAGGGTAAAAAAGACGAACGACATTTCACTAAGGGCCTTCGTGCTTTTAATATAGTACAGATAGATAAAAATCATTCAACTTTGTGTTCATTACACAAAAGTCACTTTTCTTTCTTTTGTTACACAAAAATCATTTTACTTTGCTCTAGTTATCACAAAAGTCATATTTTTACTTCAAAAATCTATTATGCCCTTGATATTATATAAACCTTCATATTTATGTAATACTTCTATATTATATACTATACTATATAATAGATTTTTAACTATATATTTTATTTATAAATAAAATAGCTTAATATTATTTTATTTATTATTTTTATAATATATTCGTATATTTAATTTTTTTCTTAACTTTAATTTACAAGATATATTAGTAGCGTTATAAAATAACTTTTTTTCGGCAATTCTTCTTTTTGAATTTAATTGACCGACAAAAGTTGGTCGGTATGCCCTTCCGACCTCCGCGTTCTGGACGGTTATTGGCCATTACCGAACAACTTTGGTCGATTTTTTTGGACAGTTTTTCCCGAATTTCTAGTAATGTAATTTCCCAAATAATCAATTGCCCTGGTAAACCCCCAAGAAAATATCCCCAGCTAAATTCGCATGTAGTACCTAGGGATTTTCCTTCAGATTAACATATGATTTTTTCCTCATTTTCTTTGTTTTTTTACCTGGGAACTTTCTCACGGAAATGTATTTGCCGATTTATTTTTCTACTAATATATGTTAAAGTTACTGACAAATTTAATAACGCTACTAATATATTTTAAAAATTAACGTTAATAAAAAATTAAATATACGAATATATTACAAAAATAATAAATAAAATAATATTAAGTTATTTTATTTATAAATAAAATACATAGTTAAAAATATATTATATAGTATATAATATAGAAGGTATTACATAAATATGAAGGTTTATAATATCAAGGGCATAATAGACTTTTCAAGTAACAATTAATTAATATATTAAATATTAATTAATAACTTGATAAAAATGGCAATCAACCTACTATCTAATATTAAACTTCACTAATATATAGGGTAAAATTCTTACCTTATTTTTATATATAATTTAAATCTTAAGAACTTTGAAACAGTGTCTGCCATTACTTCAGTTCTCACCACTCATATAATATGACAAAGAAAATTGGCTTTAAGCAGCAGAGCTTGAGAAAAGGAACAAAAGGAGATCTACAAAAGGTAATGGAAGAAACTCATTTAAAGGAGAATGATAGAGAAAATCTAAATACTCCATCATTATGCTCTTGACAAGCTGAAAAAGTAAAAAAGAAAAAAAACAAGAATCAACATAACTGTGTGCATTCACAGACAAGGTTAATAAAGTGTCAATTATTAATATAGACAAACGCGAACTTAAGCCCGAATAAAGGAGGAGAGTTAAAGTAGACTCATACGGATGGGGTTTCAAGCGACTTTTTTAATGGAAAATTTCCATTTTTATGAATAGTTTCAATATAGCATGTTCCCAACCTAGTAAAGGGGCTGCTAATTGTAGCGCGCAGTGTATTAGTGAATAGGAAAAGCGAATTGAGATTACTAATGACGGATGGAAGTTGAGGATAGAACATGTTCGGTGCCATGATGCCTCGACTAAGTAAAGTATTTTTGTCCCTTGTCGGTAGTTCTGTAGCAGGTTGTTTCGTACGTTTTCTCGGATCAGATTGAAGCACCACCCCAGAATTGATCTTTCTTTTCTTCTTACTTTTACTAAGTCTGACTCTAATTTCTCCCTGCATAAAAGTAGTCAATTTACAATGTGTTACATAATCCTAACTTCTTGAAATTGAGAAGTAGTTGTTACATAGAAACAAGAATTAGAAGATACATACAATTTTGCTTCACTTAAATCTGCAGTTACACATTAACAATGGAACTTTTTCTTTTTTTTTTTAAGG